GCTTGAGCCCAGGAGTTTCAGGTTGCAGTGAGCTGTGATGATGCCACTCTACTCTACTCTAGCCTTGTTATATTTAACAAAGTTATATAAAATCTTGTTGAAGCCTGGTTAGTGTTTTTAATGTACATTAAAAATATGTTATGCTTCAGTGCATTTAGGACCTAAGAAAAGTATATAGAAGCTCTAATATACTTATTATAAATATTTTGTGAGCTAGGCTAGAAATATATTTTTTAATCTTTACATTTTCACCTTGTATGCAATATTTAGTGGAAATCATGACCTATGTGACATGGAAACTGAGTGCATTTCCTGTAAATCAAGTGATTGGAATTGGATGCAATCTGGATTCACAGAGATTACAATATATTATCACGAATGTTTTGAAGGCACAGACTTCAGGCAAAGAAGTATGGGTTATTGGTGAGCAGGGAGAAGACAAAGGTAAGAATTACATTTATATTAGTTATATTGATAACGTAAATCAACAGTAGTTGTGACATTTAGACATATCTGGGAACTCCAGAATTGTGGGCCCTGTTGGCTTTTTTGCACCTTTGAGTGCCTTCCATATAGCAGGTCCCGTACTGTGAGTCTATTCTTCATATGTGTCATTTTCATTGCAATTATTTTTCCGTAAGTTTAAGATTAGACAAGACTCCTTAGTCAGGTTTTATATTTTTTAATTGAATTTTAGAGTCCAGGATTAATTTAAAAGTTTAAGTTTCCAGAACAATAACATTAAATTAAACCCTAAAGCATATACAGAATTATCTCCTTTACTCTCCCCACCCTTCAACCTTGCTTACCTAAGTTCAGACTTTCTCCCTAGATATGTGCCCCCTGTCTCTCACCTATTTAAACAGAATTTTCGCTCTCTGTTTCTCCTTGTGACCTTTTTTACCAGCCATTTGCTCTCTTCCTACCACAAAAAGCGTTCGGTTCTCTGTATTAGAAAGCTCCTTTTCCTATTTCAAAAGAATGCTTTCCCTATTTGACTTGAGAATTTCTTCCTTTATTCCTTTGTTTCTCCCTTGCTATAAAGCCAGGTTGGTCAGGTGATAAAAGTGCTGTTTACTCTCATTTTATTCATTTTTGTTCATTTAAACAAGTATTAATATATGATCTACAATAAAGGTGTAGGATATTATTTAAGTGCCAAAGTGAGTAGTATAGATTACGGTACTGAGATACTTATGAGTGAGCATTTAACATGGGTTAAAATGACTAGAGAAAATTATATAAAAGCCACCTTTGAACTGGAATTTGGAAGAATGAATGGGATTTGAATAGATAGCTAAGAGTGGGAAAGACATTCCAGGAATAGGAAATCAGAAACAGGCAAAGGCATATAGTTAAGTGTGGCATGTTCGTGGGATTAAAAAAAATACATACTAGTTGTAGCAAAGGGTTTCAACCAGATAAGCTTGATTGAAATCACATTTTGGAGATCCCTTGAATACCCGATCAAAGAGTTGAAAAGTGATTCTCAGGCAGAGGGGAAACACGAGGATGATATGTTGAAAGGGTAATTTGGGAGAAGTTAATCACTACTTCATCATTTGAAGTACATTACTTTATTCAGTATGTAGGTGCTGTGAGGTAGAGCATGATGTAGAAAATAACCTCTCTGCCTGTGACAGGGGTGATAATTCAATTGGAGAATTGGAGAACGATCATGCACATTAAAAAGTTAAATAGATGTCAAACCATACTGCCACAAAGCAAATTGTATTCTCAAAACTATTTTCTTGGAATTTAAAGCTTTGTATATGCTTTGATGCCATTAAAACAAACAAAATATTAATAGTGGTGATGTCTGGATTAGAGGTAGTTTTTAAAAATTTGTACTTCGTATAAAATATGTAGTATTTATATAATTTTTAGGAAAATTATTTTAATAAAATACAGCAGTATTTTAAATCTGTATAAATCTGCCCTGGCTACCTAGAAATTTCAAGTGTTAAAACGAGTCAAGCTATAGAATAAACCCTTAAAAAACCTGACAGTGTTATTGAGCAGAAATACTTTTCAGGCTCCAAATGTTCCTTGACACTAAACACTAAATAATAGGACCCCAGGCAAGGGTAGAAAACAAGAACTTGCAGCAGATATATTAGAGTAATGAATATCTAGGGTTTTAAACAAACCCAAGACCCAACATGGACCTAACCCTCTGGTGCATGTTGACCTCTTGCTTGCCTGGTTATTGCAAATCTCCCAGTTTGCTCTTTCCCCTCTAGACTACCTTGTACATGATGTGAAATTAAAAGTAATATTAGCCAAAACTTACGTAGTATTTACTGTATGTTCTCACTTATCAGTTCCATCTTCCTAAAATATATTCCTCTTTTCAAAATCTTTCAGGAGCTTCCTCTCACCAAACCATGAAATTTCTTTGCTTGGTACTCAGCGAGCCCCCAAATAAAGCCTGAATCTTCTTTCTCCATTATAGTTATGGAGGTAGCTGTGTTATTAGAGAGCTGGAAAGGACCATCTATTACATTTTGCTTTAGGGAGCGAGCAGTGGATGCAGGGATGATCAGAGTGACCTGCCTAGGAGCCTATAGGTTTTGGGTCAAAGAAGGACTGGAACCTAGATCTTGTGCCTCCCAAGCTCACCCCACAGGGACCTTTACCCACTTCATGTACCTCCCCTATAATCCCTTCCTCCTCTCTGCCATCATATTTAAATTTCATCCTTCAAGGTCTAAGTTGAGCCCCGTTATGCAATGAAAGTTTTCCTGATCATATCACTCCATAGTGATTTCTTCATTTCTTTGGGCTAAAAGCTATTTAAATCTGTATGATAATAACTACATATTGTCTTATGATGTTTCTTCTTTTGTTGTACTGCTACTTGTTCTTACCCAACCAGATTTTTGTGTGTGCACCTTCTCCTTATTGAAAGTATAAATTATTAAGCTGTTCTTTTAGCTGAAAAAGTAGTACTTTCGCATTGAAAAAAATTAAATAGTACAAAAAAAAAAAAGTCTCCCTTCTATGCCAGATGCTCTATCCCTTTCCCTAGGGGCAATCCCTTTTCCTAGGGGCAATCACAGTTACCAGTTTCTTATATAATACAATCCTCCAGAAATACTCTGTGCATAGGCAAGCACATATGTGAAAGAGACATCATGCATCATTTTCCACCTTCCCTTTTATTTACCATTATGACTTGGAAATGAATGCATAATAACATATACATATCTCACTCATTCTTTTTAACTACTGGATACACCATAATTTATTTAACCAGTCCCTCTAATAAGTTACAAATTTCGAGGAACAGTTGATGTATAATAAATATTGAATAAGAACATTTTGAAATATGGTTGTATTTTTCAAATCATAAAGAGAAAATAAAGGATAGTGTGACTTGATAAATATGTCCCTTACCCTGACCCTAACCTAGTATATCTGGGTGAAGGAAGAAAACAATTTGATAGCATTTAATTGTGAGCTCTTCAGACAGGAACACTTTAAAATCTACCAAAAAGCAGTTCGTGTTTGATTAAATGACCTTTTATCTCAAATGTAGGAGTTTGTTTTCAGAAACATTAATTGGGCACCTGCTTTGCTCAGTAAACACTGTGCTGGCTGCTGTTGGAAAATATATAGATGTGTAAGAACTTGATGTAGGAAATGACTAGAAGGCAGTATGGACTTATTAAGGTCCAAGAGAAGTAGAATAAAAGCACAGGGAAGAGATGTGGTAATTCTGTCTTGAGGTCTCAAATGGGAACTAAAGATAGAGAGATGCAGGTACATGTGAACTGGCATCACTTAACTATACTGTTATGTAATATTTGACATAGATAATGTGTGTACAAGTTTTAAAACATAGTAATTGGACAAATATTCATGAATCCATACTCAATCAAGAACATTACCAATACCACTAAGGCTACCTATGTACTTCTCCCCAATCTATCTCCCTGTCTGCCATCTAGAGATACCATCAGATTACTTTTTATCCTGTCTTCTACTCTTGCTGCAAAGACAAATTATATCCATCGATAGGTAGGTGTTCTTACTTACCTTGGCCCTAAAACCAGAAATGGATTATAAGCTCCCTCTGCTGGTTTCATTGTAGACACCAACTGGATATATTTTTTCATAAGTGACACCATCACAGTAATAGTAATAATAATTTTTTTATTGAGTACCTACTATGTATATTAAATACTTTGCATATCTCATTTAAATTTTACAAACAACCTGTGAGGGAGATGGTAGTTTTCCAAATTTATAGATAAGGAAACTTAAGGCTCAATGAAATTAAGTAATTTTCCCAAGGTTACCTATCTAATAAGGGCAGAACTGAGATCTGAACGTTGGTCTAACCCTAAATCTGTGTTCTTTCTTGCTGTCACTTAATTTATCTAAGGCATTTCGTACAGTGTCTGGCATAGAGTAAACATTCAGCAAATGGCAGCTGTTATTACAGTGATCAGCAAGATGGTGATGAATAGAAAATTGGTGGAAGGACATGTAAAACTATGCATTGAAGTAAAGCAACATTAGGATTTGGAAACAGTTATAAGAATAGCGGTTGTGTACGTGAAATTACTCTCTTCAGGTATTTCAGACAAACGACAACTCCAGCCTGGGGAGGAATCACATAGCATATAAGCCCTTTAGGCTCTATTTCCTGCTTCCCACCCCAGCTTCATTTTCTGCCATACTACCAGGCATTCTGTGCTAGTCAGGTGGTTGATCTGCAGTTTCCTGAATGGTTTATGCACTCTTCCTAGGCCTCCTTGCCTTAGCACCTGCTGCTTCCTTTTCCTGAACACTCATTCACTTGGCTAACTGCTGCGTACTCTCAGGACGGGGCTTGAGTGCCACCTTTCCTGGGAAGCCTTCCTTAATTCTCCAGGTTAAGCAAATTTATGCATCTGTTATAACCATTATTACACTTATAATTACCTGTCTGCTCCACCAGACAGTAAGCTCCTAGAGCTTGCAGTGGCCTCAGTAAATGTGTTTTGGCATGAACAAATGATCCTGACACCATCTTGTTGTAACCAAAGATCATTCATTATGCCACACCAAATTAGATGGTTAGCAGAATATAAGCTTTGCAGTTGCTATTTTCAGTTGTGATACTGCAATCATATATAAACTACAGATAACCCCTTCAAGAGACGTTTTAGAAATCCAAGGGCTGGACCTCAGAACAGAGTGTTAGATCATCTGCTTTGGGCATGGGGTGGGTGTTATATGTAGTAGAAAAGAGCTAGTAAATGGAATTTTTCATTAAAATTTTTGGAGCCAGAGGATTGCTGTTATTTAGTGGAAGCAAGGATCAGGATTGATTAGGTATAATATTGAAATGGCTAAAGTAAGATGGATATACATTTAGGAAGTTTGAAGGGCTGGGCAGTAAACAAACAAAAAATGAAATAATTAAGTCCATCTAAACTTTTTTGAAAATTCTATCCTAGTGTTCTATAGCACTGTACAGTGGCTATAATTAACAGCAATTTATTGTATATTTTCAAGTAGCTGGAAGAGTGGATTTTGAATGTTTTCAACACAAAGAAATAAGTGAGGTGATGGATATGCTAATTAACCTGATTTGATCATTACACAATGTATACATGTATCGGAATATCACACTGTACCCCATATATATGTACAATTACTATATGTCAATTAAAAATAATAAAAGTACAAAAAAGTTTTGAGGATTAAAATTCTAATGACTGTGTCACAAGCAAATTTGAATACAGTGAAGCTTTCTTTCTGTGAACATTCTTTTCTTATGGCTCTTTTAAGTCAGGACTCAGAGGAAAGATGTGAGCGCTCTCTCTCTCCATATATATATAAAAAATGGCAGCAATACTCATAATTTTCAGATTTTTTTGGCATCCTTTGTCTTTTCTTATACAAACCTTGCTATTATTCATCTTTCCAAGGTCTGTAAATGCTGTATTTCAGTAGCAGACATTTCCCCCAATTTTTTATTTATTGTGAATATACTAATAGCAGATTTTTAAAGAAAATAATCTATGTATCACCCTTCTATCCATATAAAACATTTTAAAAATCCTCGATTTGTCCACATGTATTTATATTTTTCATGTAACAGTTTTGGGGTTTTTTGTTTTTCATGTAACAGTTTTTGATTTTGCTATTTTTTTACTGACATAAAAACTTTTAAAACTTTCCCATGTTTTTCAACTTAATGCTGCACGTATGTTTTCCTCTTTGTTATCAAATATAATTATAAATTGGGTGTGAGGTTAGTTCTGTATTATCTTCTGTGTACCCAACACCATGGTACAGAATATGTGTAAGAAGACACAAAAGAATACATGGTCCCTGCACCCTGGAAGCTGGTAGTCAGTTTGGGGAGAGGAGACATCTGGATACATATGATATCTTTTGTTGCGGACACATAACTAAATGGCCTGATTTTGAATGTAGCATAGAATTCTTATATCTTAAACATAAGATATTCTTATATAGCCAAATGTATTATTGCTTTGCTACCCAAACACATAGATTTGTACCATGAGAAACGTCAATTTAGGTGTGGTATAAATATCCAGTTTGTGCATATAGCTTTGAATTTTTGAATTTTTTTTTTTTTATAAATGGTGTGGTGAGAGGAAATGGGTAACCCAGATGATGCTTTTAGAAAACTGGATGCTGCCTCTCTCACAGCTATGGAAATTCTAGCCCAAAATAGGTGACCAAATTATCCTTCACCTGAAATCAGTCTCAGTGCAGTTCCCAGCAGAACAAATGCCAAGTGTTTGCAGCATTTGGGAATCTATTACATGTGGTCTGGTAAGGAAAGAAAGCTTTCTATTTAAACAGTGAAATGGCCCTTATAGAACTGTTATTGATGAGAAAGACCATGTAAGGAGGCTGCAAGTAGACTTTAGGGATCATGTTTTTTGGGAATTGTAGTTTGAAAGTCTTTTTCACCCCAGGCAATTGGTATAGCACATTTCAGGGCCTTTGGTGGAAAACTATAACTGTTGCTAGAAGGTACCCTTGACTGCTAAATATCATTTATCACATCTTAATCCTAATAGAGTCATTGGCAAAACATAACTAATTGTTCATTTAATTTTTAGTACCTGCATGGGGTGGCCAAGAAGTAATGAGTCATAACTCTCAGGTGCAGCTATTCAACAGGTAACACTGAATGTAAATTTGCATTTATCCAACTGAAAATCATATATTTCATAGCTAACATAACAGCTATATACACAGCAAATACTTACCAGGCTTCTGTAAACAAAACTAGCTATTATGGACAAATCCAAAAGTATAAGGGAGCAGTGTTTTATATTTTTTGATTTCTTATCTGAAGGTAGATCTGAGTGCTTTGCAGACTTTTTCAGATAACACCATTGACATTTAAAGGGTAGAACATGTTCCTTATTTACAGACTTGATTTACTGCTCCTGTATCTAAACATCTAAGGATAATAACAGTTTTCTTACAGTGGAAGAGAATATGTCCATACCACTTAAAAATGAGTACGTATTAATCACACATAAATACATTTGGAAATCAGTCTAATATGAAAGGATAAGCCATATTATATGTTCAGGGGGAAAAATGTAATGAAGAGATCCTTGTATTATTCAGAGGCTTTCCAGGGGACTGTGCCCCATAAGTTAGACTCTATACATTATATATTTTCATGTCATTTGTTGTTTCACCACCACATAATAACAGATATTCCTGAAGTCTGAGTGGTGGTGATTTTTAGCTTTTTAAACGTTCAGCTTATAGTTTGTGGAATATAACAACTAGAAAGAATATTCTTTTTCTTATTGAGAAGAGTAGTGTGTGGTATAATTCATTCTAATCTGATTATATAATCTTACATTTGTAGTTTTTAAAAGGAAGAAATTTAAATGTTTATATAATTATTTATAAAAATAATATATGCTTATTATAAAACTTCAAATACTACAGATATCTATAAAGTAGAAAGTAAAAAACTGAGATAATTCCATCTCCTAGAGACAACCACTGTTAACAGTTTAGTGTCCACATGTATATTTCTAAAAATATTTTTTCCTACTTGAGAGGCTGACGTAGGAGGATTGCTTGAGCCTAGGAGTTTGAGGCCAGCCTGGGCAACATAGCAAGACCCTGTCTCTGAAAAAAATTTCAATGCTTCTACAAATATATCATTATTATTTTTTGTTATTTTTCTAATAGACTTATGCTATTCACATTATCTTGTAACTTGATTTGTTGCCTTAATGATAAATCTTGTACATCTTTCTATATTGTACATGTAAATCTATCTTACTCTTAAGAGCTACATGGTACTACATTTGGTAGTGATTTATTCAACCATTCCTCTTTTGATGAGTTGTTTCCAAATACAGCAAACATGCTTATTATGTTTATCTTTGCACACTTGAGCATATTGCTGTAGGATAAATTCCTAAAAGAGGAATTTCTAAATGAGATGTTGGCAAATCTTTTTCCTAAAAGATCATTTTACACTCTCAACAGCAGTTATGGGAATGCCTGTTTATAGTTTCTCCAAAATTAGTTATCAGTCTTTTTAATCTTTGTTAATTTTTATAGGCAAAATGGGGGTATTTGTTTTAATTAATAGTTAAATATTAATGGCAGTGAGCATCTTTTTATGTTTATTAGGCCATTTGTATTTTCTCTCTGTGAACTTGCCTATCTGACATCTTAAGAAAAGTTTAATCATTAGATTATCTGTAGGCTTTCCTAACAATTGCTGTGTAACTCTTATTTCTGTGTCATAAAAATATCTAATTAATACCTTAAACAGAATGTAAAATTAAATGTGCATATTTTGTGCATTTTCTGAGATCATGTTTTTTTGTAACCTAGAGCCATGGAACTGTTAAGGGTAAAAGGCCAAAGATCCTGGTCTGTTGGACTATCAGTAGCTGACCTGGTTGACAGTATTGTAAACAACAAAAAGAAAGTGCACTCTGTATCAATTTTAGCAAAGGTAATTGTTATTCTCATTCTCTCGTATTATAAATACAAAACCAGCAAAATTGCTGTTCACACTCTAACCCAGGCGTTTTCAATGTCGCCAGCTTTTGGAGTAACGTGGGAACAGGCAGTCTGGTCTAAGCCCTACTGTGCTTGGCTATGGAAAGTCTGGATTTCTACCAGGTTGCCTTCTCACCCTCGTGCTTTTTGAGAATCTCCAAATAGAGTTTATATAGCCATAAACTTCTTCTGGTTGTCATTTATCACCTCAGCCAGCCAAGTCACCCCAGACTGATGTGCCAGAAAGACAAATATTGCATATTCTCACTCATATGTGGGAGCTTAAAAAAAAAAGAAGTTGATTTCATGGAGGTAGAGAGTAGAATGGTGGTTACCAGAGGCTGGGAAGGGGGCAGGGAGGATGAAAAGAGGTTAGTTAATGGATATAAAAATACAGTTAGATAGAAGGAATGAGTTCTAGTGTTCAGTAACATAGTAGGGTGACTATAGTTATAAGTAAGTTATTGTATATTTCAAAATAGCTAGAAGAGACAATTTGTAATGTTCTCACACAAGGAATGGTGTTGGAGGTGGTAATATCTCAGTTACCTTGATCTGATCGTTATACATCATATGCATGTATCAGAATATCACACGTACCCCATAAATATGTAGTTATTATGTATCAACTTAAGAAACAGAGAGTACTGTATTTGTGCCCAGAGACCACGCGATGCCCCTCCCTAGGAAATCTACTCTGACCATCTTTTTTCTTAGCTCCCAACCTGCTACCCACATTGCAGGGAGCTAGCTTACCTCCCCACAGAGGGAGTATCTTTGACCAGGTTCCTCTCATCTTTCAAAAATTTTCTGAAATAATAACTTGAGTTCACAAAAATAAATGAACAAATTTTTTTAAAAATTCAACTTGTATTACTTTGTACTAGAACTAGAAAAGGAAGAAAATGTGCATTTTAATGATATTAACTTCTTTGCAGTGATTTATCTCTATTTTAATCCCTATTTTTCTCATTTCAGGGATATTATGATATAAATAATGAAGTGTTTCTAAGTTTGCCTTGCATCCTTGGAACCAATGGGGTATCTGAAGTCATCAAAACCACAGTGAAAGAAGATACACTGACTGAGAAACTCCAAAATAGTGCATCCTCAATCCATGGTCTCCAACAGCAGTTAAAGCTTTGATTCTCAAGTGCAGTTGCCTGAAAGGAAACGTCATTTAATTTTGCCCACATATATAGGTTTGAGAACTTCTGTATCTTATCACTTATCCTTACAAACTGCTTGGTTAAGGTAGATGTTTCTTGGTTAGCTTTGTGATTTCAATCCTTAAGGAGTTAGATAAGGAGGGGAAAATCTAATTTTCTTTGGTGTTCTTGAGATATCTATACTGTTCTTTAAACCTACAGCAGGGTAAAAATTCATCTGCAATGTGCATCATTTTAAATTGTGTATCCTAATTAGCCAGGCATGGTGGTGCATGCCTATAGTCCCAGGTACTCGGGAGGCTGAGGCTGGAGGATCTCTTGAGCCCAGGAGTTGGTTATAGTGAGCTATGATGGCACCTTTACACTCCAGCCTGGGTGCAACAGAGCAAGACCCTGTCTCTTAAAAAACAAACAAACAAAAACTCCATATCCTAAACTAAAAGCTCTTTCAGCACCTTGGGAATATTTTGAAAGTAATACATCTTTAAAATAAATTACTCTTTGACTTTTATAATAAACATGATAATCTCAAGGCCCAATATGGATTTACAAAATCTGTGTTAGGTATACAAAGATCCAAGCTTTTAAAGTATTAATGTTTCTTTTGCAAAATATAGTTGGTAGTAATGGTAAAGCATTTTATTTTCCTTCTTCAAATTCCTTAGCTGCCAAAAAATAGAGAAAAATTTTATCTGCACTTTAAAATGGTAAAAGGGAAAGGAATTTTTTAAATATATGTAGAAAAAGTATAATTTCCAGTGGGACTTCCTGTCTGAAATTTTCTGTAACATTTTCTTGGACTATATAAGAATCTCCAACATCTCATGAACTTACTGTGATATTAGTAGAACCATAGAGAAATGTGTATTTTTAATGAAAATGGATTATGAATGAAAGCCAAGCAGTTTACTTTACAGCCAAAATATGAGACTTTGATGAAAACCACTGGTCTTAAGGGGGAGAGGCTGTATGAACTGATGGTTCTGAGCAAATCCTTTAACCTCTCCTAAAGAAATGATTCAGAGTACATACACTTTGGTGATGGGTCAAGAGCAATATTTTCAGATGTGAAAGACAGTTGTGTGTCACAATAGTAATATGCTAATAGTAACAGCTAACATCAACACTTCTTATACACCAGACAGTGTGATGAGCACTTTACTATTTTACTGAATCCTCACAATAACCCATAGAGGTAGGAGTATTATCATTATTTTATAAAAGGAAATTGAGTTTTAGTGCCCAAGAACTCATGGCTATTAAGGGGCACTTATCCATACAACTTCTTTTTCTAGGCATTAAAAGACGGAAGAGGCCTAACAGCCAAAATAGTTGTCACAAGACCCTAAAGTTGGAGTCCTATACACTAAGAAAGGATTACTTCCATTCTGCTGTAGGGGCTTCCTTTTTTTTTTTTAAACATAGTTTTTAGAGGGCTGGGTGCGGTGGCTCACGCCTGTAATCCTAGCTCTCTGGGAGGCCGAGGCGGGCGAATTGTTTGAGCTCAGGAGTTCGAAACCAGCCTGAGCAAGAGTGAGACCCCGTCTCTACTAAAAATAGAAGGAAATTAATCGGACAACTAAAAATATATAGAAAAAATTAGCCGGGCATGGTGGCGCATGCCTGTAGTCCCAGCTACCTGGGAGGCTGAGGCAGGAGGATCGCTTGAGCCCAGGAGTTTGAGGTTGCTGTGAGCTAGGATGACGCCACGGGACTCTAGCCCGGGCAACACAGTGAGACTCTGTCTCAAAAAAAAAAAAAAAAAAAAAGAATTCACTACGTTAATTATAAAAGGAACATGTCAATATAACAAATACTTACTGAGCACCTACTGTTATTCCACATACTGTGTTAGAATCTGAGTATTCAAAGATGAATAATCATCCTTGGCCTCTGGAAGGCCACATATAGAAGTAATTGCCTATATCAGATATTTCCTTGAGTGTTAAGTATTAGCAATCATGTTGTAAGTCCTATGTATAAGTTAAGCGCACCACAACCACCTCACTAGGATTTGGTGACAATTTGACATTCACAAGGCTTCTATTAACTTTCTTTCACATTTATTTTTCCAAAATCATGTAGTGCCTGTTCTCGTTACGATTTTTAGTGGGGCTTGGATTAAATGCTTTCTTGATGTTATAGCAGAAGATAAATTTTTATTTTCCAATTTACATTGTTTTCGTTAAATATCAAGAATAATGAATAAAATAAACTTTGATTTTAAAATCACCAGGTGATGCTTGATTTATTAAGTGGAAGAAAATTTATTCCGATTAAGGAGGAAAATTTTTTCATATAATTAATACGGCACCCAGGATATTTAGATATTTTGTTTTAAGTGGCTTAAGTGCAAAGATATTTTATCAATTGTTTTCAAAACTTTTAAAATTGATTTTTAGCAAGAAAAATTTTTAAACAATGGTTACCTGGCACTCCTCCAATTCATAAAAGCAGAGTTGCTCTAATTAAAGGTACTCCTGATTAAGCTGTGGCTTTAAGAACAGTTTGAAAGCCACATTGCTTTTAAGTGACATAAAACAGCAGGGGCAGTGGAAGGATAGACTGACCTCTGTCAGACTGACTGGAGCTGTATGTTTAACTAATGTAAGGTTATCCAAAACTAACGGTACCTATTGGGATAGCCTTTATTTGTGTGTGTATTGGCAACAATTTACAATGATGCTTCCACATACTCTTAATTAGGCCCTCTATTTATGTGACCTTCACTTAGATGCCAACTTAGAAGGGAATCAATACACAGCCTTGTTCTCGTTAGCACTATACTAAAACCATCCAAACTATCATACTTTTACATCATCAAACCCAAGCTTTACAATACCTTGAATGACACTGTGCCTATGTAAAACTGGCAGTGATGTAGAATTAAAGATGACTAATATAAGTCACCATGAAGAACTTTTTTGGGAAGTAGAAATTCGATTAAGATCGAGTACCTATTTTTGCATTGTACAAGACCATGAAGATCTGAAGATAAGTCTGCCCCGAAGAACTCGGGACTTTGGCAGTGTACAGGCTAGTACACAAACAGCGCAAAGTAGTATGCAGCTTGTATTGTTATTTATGTCTGGGCACAGAGAAGAAATTCTGACTTAGGGAAAGATATCCTGGAGAAGAAATTACTGTCTGGCTTCCTGAGAAATGAGGGCTCTACACTTTGCCCTTGCGAACAAAGTACGAAGGACTTTTAAACTTTACATCACCAATAACAACCAAAAACAAACACACCTGATAATCAGAGAAACCCTGGGCATCATCTAATGCAAGCCTCTCATTTTAGAGTTGTAAAGAACTTAAGCGCGAGCTAGAAGTACGCGTGCCTACTATTATCACAAGGGCGAGTCAGTGGCAGAACAGTTCTTGGCCAGTTCGGTGGCCTCCCACTTGATGAATCAGTCATTAAGACAAGCCCTTCGTGCTTCCTCCCCTCCCTCAGCTGCTTCCTTAAGACTAAAGGCGACTGTAACTATGAAATACCTGCCAATCTTATACCGGCCCAGAGTTTCGACCTTCGGAACAGGCTTGCCCTCATCTTTGAGACCCGCCTCGTCCTTCCGAATCCGGCACATTAGGGGTGTGGGTGTGGGTGTGGGTCGTTCGGAACCCACCCCACGCAGGGCCTCAGCCCCACACGCGTCCCACCCTTCTCGGCAGGATGGCGGCCTCGGAAGTGACGAAAAGGAAGCGGAAGTGCTGTCGTGGTGCAGATTTCCTGTTGCTTGAGGCGGGGGGGTGGGAGGCTGGCCGCTTGGTGTGCGATTGTGTGGGGCGGCCTAGGGCAGCCCTGGAGTGGCTGACCCTCTGCCTGCAGGGACGAGAGTCTCGAGGCGGCCGTCATGGCGGTGTCGGAGAGCCAGCTCAAGAAAATGGTGTCCAAGGTGAGGCTGCGACGCGCTCACTCCCCGAGCGCACCCACTGCTCCCTTCGGCGCTTGGCCCTGCCCAGCCCAGCTATCCTCCTGGGCTAGCGGAAAGCCCCTGTGCGGTCTTCAGCCGCCTGCGCGGCCCTTCTCCCCGAGGCTCCTGTCGCCTTGTGCTGGAATCGCTGATGCCCGGGCAGGGAAGGTGGAGGGCGGCTACAGTCAACAAAGGCGCGGAGCGGAGGCCGCCTGCCACCTGCAGCCGCTCGCCCTCCTTTCTTCTGGAGAGTTTGGATCTGTCTGTGGGGCAGTATAGTTCTCTCTTAGTTTTTATAAACACAAAGAGGGGGCTGTACTTAGTTCTTGATATGAGGCAATCCTCCTCCACTCCTATCCTAACCTAGGGATCCTGTTCGCCCTTCCCTTGCCGGCTCCCGGAAACTGGCCTTTTCAGTTTTGTATTCCCCAGGCAGCTCAACACCCGACCCTTGGGAAACCGGTAACTATTGGTTGAATTGGCTCAATTATAAGCAAAAAACGTCCAGAGAAGCTGAAGCTAAAATGTCAGTCCCTCCCTACCCCAGTTGAATTAAATAGAATTCCATTACTATTTCAGGGGTTTGCTAAGAGTAACTACTATTAAGTGTATGCTTTTTGTAACGCGCATTTATTTGCTTTGAGCTTAATTTACAATCTTCACAGCTCAGGACCGGTGTATTATTTTTAAAAAAACAGGCATTTTGTATTTTAAAGCCGTGATTTATTTTGTAATTACTTAAAACGTGGCACCTGACACCAGAGTGGAATGGCTTTTGTTATGTTTTGTTGTAATTTACCAAACCTAATTAGAATAAAATACATGTAACGTGATTTGAGAGTTGAGACTTCTTCAGTTCAGCATGTTAGCTTTGGATACTTTTGTCAATGGTAGCAATACACAGTTTAAGCTGTTTTTAACTTCTAATAAAACATACCATTATGTATAAAACTTTTTTTATATAGATTTTTTTTAGTAAAATCGTCCCTATAGTCCTTGATTGAAGAGTGAATAACCTCTAAAGAAAGCTTTTCAAAAGAAAGCTTCTCTTGATTGTCTAACCATATCTTCTAGGCGTCTTGATCTTTTGATAAGGTAGTTATCCTTAATTATACAGGAGGTTTTGGGGAGCTGTAGAAGATTGTGACCCAGGTAAAGGTCTATGTTGTAACATTTTTATATAAGTTT